ATATAAAACACACCTTAATAGCAATAGCACTTAGACTTATACACTGCTTCATAGTGCTTTACAGCCCTCTCTAAATGGTTTACAGAGTCAGCCTATTGCCTGACTCTGGGTCCACCTCAGAAAGATGGAAGGCTGAGTCAACCTTGAGCCATTCAGAATCGAACTCCTGGCAATGGACAGAGTCAGCCTGCAATAGTGCATTCTAACCCCTGGGCCACCACGGCAGTGGTGGGTTTCAATTTTTTTTACTACCAGTTCTGTGGGTGTGGCTTGGTGGGTGTGGCATGGCTTGGTGTGCGTGGCTTGGTGGGTGTGGAAGGATACTGTAAAATCTCTATTCCCACCCCATTCCAGGGGAAGGATACTGTAAAATCTCCATTCCCACTCCACTCCAGGGGAAGGTTACTGCAAAATCCCCATTTCCTCCTGATTAGCTGGGAATTGGGAAGCAGAGAATAGATGGGGGCAGGGCCAGTCAGAAATTTTACTACCGGTTCTCCGAACTACTCAAAATTTCCACTACTGGTTCTCCAGAACTGGTCAGAACCTGCTGAAACCCACCTCTGCACCATGGCTTTTATTTCATCTGCCTATGCATGGCTAGCGTACCATAGGATTGAAAATAGAAGATTCTCTCACCTTGTTTTGAAATCAATAATATATTCATGAGCTTTCTTGGGGAACATTTTATAGGAAAAATAAACTTATTTTCTCCCAGCTAGTAATGGAAAAATGCCATCTGAAATAGAATCGCTGCTCAACTCTGCTGTATATACAGTCAACATACTACAATGGAGTTTGGACAGAACAAATGTGCCATGCTCACCATCAAATGGAGAACAATCATTAAAATTGAAGGAATCGAGCTGGAAATAACACCAAGAGTTTGGATGAAAACAGTCACTATCCATACCTGTGCAATTTATAGGACATGTCAATTTTTTCAGCTTTCAATTTCCAAATTTTAGGGGTGCTCAAACGTTGTAACATGTCTTGGGGACTGAAAAGATATTTTTGTTACTTTAATATAATTTAGATGTGCTTGGTAAATAACCACATAAATATCGTAACTTTTTAACATATTGTTTGTTTCATTTGCTCATCCTTCAAGCCGACAATATCAAACAAATCAACACTTGGGCAAATTCCAGTCCTTAGATACACAGCTGGAAGAATGGACTGGATTGAAGCAGAACTAAAAGCCCTGGATAGGAAGAGCAGAAAAATAATGAATTATTCTCTTCATCCATGCAGTGATCTTGACAGACTCTACTTACCAAAGAAAATAGGTGGGCATGGAATGTTGCAAGCACAAGTATTACGTGGCCAATACATTTTTTAAAAATAGTCGGCAATCAAATAATAACAATATCAAGTTGAATAAAGTGTCAGAGGAGCTAATTCTGACAGCACAAGACCACACTTTAAGAACAAATGCATTTGAAGTCAGAATTGAGAAGACAGCAACAGACAGCAAGTGCCACCTCTGCAAAGAAGCTGCAGAAACAGTAGGGGCAACCTGGTTAGCTACCGCAAGAAGAATACACAGATTGGTTAAAAACAATGGCATGACAAAGTAGCGACAATGGGTGGAAGATCTTCAATAAATACCATTTGCCTGCAAACAAGAACTGATGGGACCATAAAATAGACAAAGCCATAGAAAATGAAGAAGCTAAAGAACTCTGGGACTTTAGAATTCAAACCAACAGACACCTGTCACATAACATCCAAGAGTTAATAATTGTCAATAAAAAAGACAAAAAAAAAGGTCTGGATAGTGGACATGGTAGTATCTGGAGATAGCAGAAGAGAAAAGAAAGAACTGAAGAAAATCACAAAATACAAAGTCTTGCAAAAAAAAAAAAAGTAGAATGATTGAGGCTAAATCAGCCACCGTAGCACAGTGGCTAAAATGCAGTATTGCAGGCTAATTCTGCTGACATGTCCACTAATTCGAGTCTCATTGGCTCAAGGTTGACTCAACCTTCCATTCTTCCGAGGTGGGTAAAATGAGGACCCAGATTGTTGTGGGCAATATGCTGACTCTGTAAACCGCTTGGAGAGGGCTGGAAAGCATTGTGAAGCAGTATAGAAGTTTAAAGTACTATTGCTAAAGAAAGCCAAGATAGGACCAATCACGGTAGGAGCCTTAGGTGCAATCCCCAAACACCTGGAGTATCCCTTGAACACCAGCAGTATTCACAAAAATCAATTGCAAAAGACAGGTTTACTTGGAACAGCTTTCATTTTGCAATGATACATTTAACAGCATCAAACATCAACATCTGCCTATCCGAGATAGGTGGATAAAAATGCCATATCCACTCCAAACATCTGGATTACTGTGTAACAAACCATAGTAATAATTTACTAAAGGTCTATGTCACTTGACTTTTAATGACACCAGATGACTCACAAGAATGAAAAAAGTAATCACAACAATATCAGTAAAACATAAAAAAATAAAATAAAGGTAAAATGAGAAACATGACGAAGCGAGGGGTCTCCCACTCCCTCTCCAAAAGCCTGGGTGAAAAACAAGGTCTTTCTCCCTTATTATCAGGAAACTTGAGGATTTCTCTGGAAGTTTTTGATTCTCATTGTTGGAGGTAGTAAGAGATGACTATTAAAATGTTTTATTTCTGATGTACATTTTTCCATCACTCTGAAATCTCCCTAGCCACCCACACTTCACAAGCTTAAAAACACCACAGGAGGTATACCCTTCTCCTGAAATTCAACTGAAGCATGGCAAGCATAACAAATGACATATATTCCTTGGCCAACTTGTAGCTAAGTAAGTTCAGGAATATAGCATTCCACCACATTTGCAACTTCCTTCTTCTTCTTTGAAAGAATTTCTAAAACAACTTCACTTTCATAAAATTGAATGAGAACTGGTATAAAAATGCAGAATCATTTCTCCGCAAGGCACTGATTCTATCACAATGAAAACTTTACACCAGTTTTAAACAACAACAATTGAGAATCCAACACTAGCAGGCTAAGCCTACTGGCTTGTGATTCAAATTCCACCCCTTAGGAATATTTGTGTGGGTTGGTTCTTCAATGAGATTCCTAAATAGCAAGTGGCTTGTAGCCTCATTACCTGGATGACATTGTTAACATTTGGAGCATAGTAGCTTACTAAGCTTCTTAGGGTCAGAATGCATAGATGACATCCATGTATAACACATTCGTCATCAGTTATTGTTGGATCAAAACCACAAAAATTGGCTCCAATGATAGACGTCGCTCATGGGCAAACTTTCAAATAAATCTGCTTGTTTTTTAAGGCGCTGTACTGCAATTCAGGTAGGGGATTTCCATGCTGTCGAGCCCTCTTCTCCTTGGCAACCTACAGTGTTACTCATGCTAGGTATTATTTCCGTCGTCCTCTCTCCAGGGTGCATCTTGCTTTCTGCAGAACTGTGAGTCACATCATCTTCCTTTGTCAGGAAAAATGGACCTTCCTTTTCAGGTGTCGCCAGGAAATACAAAATAAAAATAACGCTAGGAAAACCACAAGTACAAGGTTTTTCCTCCACTTCTATGTAGGTTTTTGAACAACCTCCTGGAGTTTTGTTTTGTTTTTGTTTTAAAAAAGAGGTTGCATAATAATTCTTAGCACTATCTGCACTGCCTGGAGGATTTTAGAAAGCCCTAGGAAAGATAGTTCGTTTGACCTCCCTACAGTGCAATCTATTTAGAAATAAGCCTTCTTAAGTTCAGTGGGGACTTATTCTCAGGTAAAGGATTACAGCTTTCATCTGCTGTCAAATACCAGCCCTCTCCAAACCTTCGAAGAATATATGTATCAAGTAAAATATTGACAACCTCTGTCTCAAGACATCTGTTTTATACTCAGTTAAAATGCAGAGAGAGACAGCTGCTTGAAATACACAAAGCTAAGATCTTATACTGTATGGCAAATAATGTGTTTTATTTTATATTCAAATAGGAAAATTCTTGCCGATTAGTTCTGTGAACTATAGAGATGTAAAACTATGAATCACATACAATGTCCTTTCGGTGATACATTTATGGTTGTAGGTGAATATGAAGATAGCCTTGAAGAAAATATCTAGCTGCTATTAGGAAAACATCAGCTTAGTCCATAAACACAGGAGGAGGTGAGACAGAAAATCAAGTTTGCTCCTCCTTTACTCTCTTTGGTGTAAGAGGGAGGAAAAGAGAAACTTTGTCAAGCTTTCAAGATTCTGTTATTATACCCTGTGACAAGAAATGTAGCAGTTCTTATTCCATCTGTATCTTAACTTCGAACAGCTGACAACAGTGAGCAGCCAACAAGCTAAATGTCTATGGAGATTCTCAGACATCCAGATCATGGTTCTCCCAAAAGTGTTGGTTTCTTTTCTTTTTTTTTTTTTCCAAGAGGCACCTGGACTTTCTTTGTTTTTCCTTGAAGACATTTCCTTGAAGACATTTCACTTCTCATTCAAGAAGCTTCTGTTTTGATAGTCAAGAAGAAGCTTCTTGGATGAGAAGTGAAACATCTTCAAGGAAACATGACACCTGGCAAATTCAGGCAGACCATTGCTATTCTCCTTTATCACCATCTGGTCTATTTTTTTCCTAATCTGACTCTCACTCCCCACCCTACAACTCAGGGCATGCCCTAAAGTTACAGCTCACCTGGAATTTGGTTGGTTCTATCATTATCTATTAGACTTTCCTCTCTCACAGTGCCCATTTCTGGCAGTCTCTACAAAATGTCCCACTTATGACTATAACCATGTTGCTTGTATCTTTCAATTTATATTGTTTTTATTTGTTTCTTAGTACAATTTGATAGCTTATTAGTAACCTTGACTATCACTTAGTGTTGTATCTTTTTATTCTTGATGAATGTATTTTATTCTCCTTATGTACACCAAAGACAAATTGCTTGTGTGTCCAATCACACTTGGCCAATAAAGAATTATTTTCTATTCTATTCTATTTTATTTTGTTACCCTGGCTGTCTACCACATTACCTGTATTCTTGTAGTATTACCACACTGCTGCTGTTCATCTCAGTAAGAGAAAATCTATCCATTCCAGGGCAAGATAGTTTTCTTCTTTGTGCCAATCACTGATACTTCATGCCTCACTAACACAGACAAGCCAATATGCAGCAGGCTGAGCAATATGTAGCTGCTATTGTGGGTTCATCCTGAAATTGTCCAGTTAAGGAAGACTGGCCATTGTGAACTCATACCTATTCTTTGCCTGAAAGAAAAACTGGCCATTGTGATGTCATGCAATGCAGAGAAATTGTCCCTTTTAAATTCAGATCAATGTTATAGCTAAGGTGTCAGGTTTCAAGGTCGTCTCAAATAAATTGCATTTCAAACAAAGTCTTTGATGAAAAACTCCCATTTATTAAGCACGATATTCTAACTCCGACTCCATCGCAGCCAACACTGACTTCCTGACCCAAAACCCTCCCTTTCCTTTCCCCACTCCTCTGCACTCATTGGCCATCTTCCAAGTCACTCTACCCCTAATCTACTGCTCCAGCTCAAAGGAATTTCCCCCCTCCCATCCCATCTCCTAGGGGATATTATCTCCAGGGAAAATAAGTAGGTGAAATGTCAAACATCCCTTTCCAGACGCCTCTGCTTCTCCTTCTTATGTCAGCACTAGAGTAAATGCAGCTTGAAGTGCTGACATCAGGAAAGAAAAACTAGTTTTTGTACCATCTGTCAGCTGATGTTCAGCTGAAGAAAAACACCAAGACTCTCCTGGGTCGGCAACAGGAGTGCTATTCAGCAGGTTCTGACCGGTTCTGGAGAACCAGTAGAGGAAATTTTGAGTAGTTCGGAGAAGCGGCAAATACCACCTCTGGCTGGCCCCAGAGTGGGGTTGGAATGGAGATTTTGCAGTATCCTTCCCCTGCCACGCCCACCAAGACATGCCCACAGAACTGGTAGTAAAAAAAAATTGAATTCCACTACTGGTCAGCAACCATTTTCATACTAAAGGTCTGTTCTGAACTCCGGAACTGATTCAAATTTTGACATTTTTCCTCTTATCCTCCCATCCTCTCAAATGTTAATTATTGTCCTCAGATACTGTTGATAGGAAGGCCAGTCCCCCCATCTATCTTCTTTTGAACATTTATCCTTGATGGCAACCAGAAAAGGTGTTACCAGATTCCTTTTAATCTGATAATAAATATTTCAGGACGTGACCTCTTAAATAAATTATCAGAATAATATCATAGAGAAACAGTATAGAAATTCAAGATTTTTGTGGTGCTGAAAAACATGAAAGAAAGTGGCAGGTAACACGAGTGATCCCAAGAACAAAACCTTTCCCTCAGGTATGTGAAAAAGAACATCTTGCAAATTTTCAAAAGTAAAGCCTGTCTGACCCAAAGCCTTTTAAGACAGATCTTGGAAAAAAACCTTGGAAATAGGGAAAAGACCTGTGCTAGCCCAGAAACTGGTGTTACAGATTCTTTCCTGCTGATATCAGTTGAAAAATGTAAACAATAACAAAATATTAATATTTAACCTCTTCCATTTCCTGTGCCACTAACATAAGCTAAAACACAGGACAAGGTTGTTTCTCTCACTTGCTTTTTCTTTCTCTCTTCACCTGTCCCATAATGAAAATATAAGAATAAAAGAATAGATATAAAAAATAAGAAAAGTTCAAAAAAGGGGGGGGGCATTTGACAGTCTTAGTACAACTATTCAAATATATTTATCACGGAACACTTGTTTTCATTGAAAAGATTCCTCAGTAATTCTTCAGTAGGAGAGATTCTAAGGCAGTTACAATTTCTGGAACAAAATTAATCATGTCACTGTAAATAAAGTACATTAATACATCAATAGGACAGCAAAGAAGAAGCTGATGAAATTGCTGAAACCTCAGTAGTTCAAAGTAATCTCTTAGGAAAAGGAGAAGGAGGAGGAGGAGGAGAAGGAGAAGGAGAAGGAGAAGGAGAAGGAGAAGGAGAAGGAGAAGGAGAAGGAGAAATCTGCTGCCATGAAAGATTGTAATGTTATTTCTGCTTTTGTGAAGAATGTCCTAAAGTTCAAAGATCACCCCAACCGCAAATCATTGTACAAGTTGACTTGATTCCTGAAGATTTCACAAATAAATCCAGGTAGCTTTAGGCAACAGAACATCAGCTTTGTCAAGCAAATTTTCTGAATTTCCCTGTCTAGCCTCCATACTAGTCTTTCACAAGGGACTGACATCCAAATATTGACCAGGTCTGATGTTGCATAGCTTTTTAAGATCATCCTTAATGGTCTGGGTGCCATTGTCTAACAGATTCTTCTCTAAAAAAACAGTTAAAGGTACCTTGCTTTCTCCCAGAATTGAATCTCAAAGCACAACACAAGTTGGCATGATATGAATACATTTAACAGCATCCAAATTCTAGTAGCTGAGTTTGCACTAATTGAAGTTGCATCCAAGGATAGCTCCATGTATTATACATTACAGCAGTTCAGATGAAAATTTATCAGAGCATGGTTAATGTAAAAGAGCAATTTAGGAGAGAATAATTAATTTCATCTGTTCAGGACAATTTCCCTAAATTCCTTTCCTGTCAATAATGATGGTTTCAGATATCCAACCAACCAAATCAATACAATAATTTTAAGCTCTCAAGGCTAACTGGACTTTCAGGGACATCATTGCATAAAAGCACTCTTTCTTATATCAAACCTACCCTTTAAAGGCCATCTAATCCAGAAATACCGTGTTTCCCCAAAAATAAGACCCTGTCTTATATTTTTTTGAACCCTGAAATAAGCACTTGGCCTTATTGCCATGCACTCAAAAGCCCGATTGGGCTTATTATCAGGGGATGTCTTATTTTGGGGAAAACCGAGTAGTTGAATATTTATTCCATAGATATGGAAACCAATTATCCAAGATTCTACCTGTGGGATCTTACAGAATCATGGAACTATTAGTAGATCCTGAAGTTAAATGCCAACCATTTTATAGTTCAGTGCTGAAAATAGAGATGAACAATGTATTTCTCAGGTCTCTGCCTTAAGCCATCATATATACTCAATATAATAAACAAACTGACATTATTTGTGAATCATAGTACAGGTAGTCCTTGATTTATGACCACAATTGAGCCCAAAATTTCTGTTGTTAAGTGAGACATTTGTTAAGTGAGTTTTGCCCCATTTTACGACCTTTCTTGCAACAGTTGTTAAGTGAATCACTGCAGTTGATAAGTTAGTAACCCGGTTGTTAAGTGAGTCTGGCTTCCCCATTGACTTTGCTTGTCAAAAGGTCACAAAAGGGATCACATGACCTTGGGACAAAGCAACAGTCATAAGTATGAACCAGTTGCCAAGCATCTGAATTTTGATCACATGATGAACGTATCTTTTCTTTTATGTACACTGAGAGCATATGCACCAAGACAAATGCCTTGTGTGTCCAATCATACTTGACCAATAAAAAAAAATTCTATTCTATTCTATTCTATGACCATGGGGATGCTGCAACAGTCGTAAATGTGAAAAATGGTCATACAGTAGGTCACTTTTTTCAGTGCTGTTGTAACTTTGAATGGTCACTTAATGAACTGTTGTAAGTTGAGGACTACCTATACCATTACATTTTTTAAAAAAATGTTCACATGAAGAGAAGAGTTATTTCCAAAGAATAACTCATATCCAACAGAATACTGTATAAGGAAAAGCCAGAACAAATAGTAATACAAAAATTGTAATGGTGACTTAGGCAAAACAAAAAACAAAAAACCCAAGCTTGCATTATATAAGAAGAAGTAAAATGGCAACTCTCACTTGACTCAAGTACAGATAGGTAATCAACATATCACCTCTTTTATCAGCTTCGACAACAACCTAACAGTGGCAGGAGTGGTGAATAAGGTCATTGGAGGCTTGCTGTCATTTGCACTGATTGTGTGAACTCAGTCTCACCCTAGGACAAGATATCAGTGACATCTTGTGAGTGATTCTGTCTCTGTCAGAAGAAGTACGGGAGAAATAAAAAGCTTCTTGATAGGGCATCTATACATCTGTGTATCATCAAGTCTTCTTCTTACATTTTACAAAATAATTCAAATATAAAGTCGATTGCCTTAATTTTTCCAATTCCCACCACCACCTTTACTATAATTTTGCCTAATCTTTGTGTCCATCACAGTTAGAACTGACTCTTCTTGGGATTTGTACAACTAGATTTCTTTGAAGACCCAGATCGTTGGGGGACAAAATGCTAACATTGTAAACCGCTTAGAGAGGGCTGTAAAACACTATGAAGCGCTATATAAGTCCAAGTGCTATTGCTATTTTTCCTGACCTATGTTAGCATGTATGTTGAATAGGAGATCAGAATTGGGACCAACTGTAATACTGTCTTCAGTGCAGGAATCAGAATATGTTACATTAATACTCATGCATGAAGTGCCAAACTTCTGAATATTTACAAATACTCACAAAAATATTTTAACTTCAGTTTTTTTAAAAAATTGCTTTAAAGTTTGAGACATTCTTTACCTATTGAAAAGTGGGGATATTCTTCCTTCCTTCCTTCCTTCCTTCCTTCCTTCCTTCCTTCCTTCCTTCCTTCTTCCCTTCCTTCCTTCCTTCTTTCCTTCCCTCCCTCCCTCCTTTCCTTTCCTCTCCTCTCCCTCCCTCCTCCCTCCCTCCTTCCCTCCTTCCTTCTTTCCCATCCTCCCTCCCTTCTTTCCTTCCTTTCCTCCTTCCCTGCTTCCTAACTCATTCTTTTCTTTCTCTCTTTCTCACTCTCTTGCTCTTTCTCCTTCTCCCCCCCTCCTTTTTAGGAAATACTTGTTGAATGGAAAATAGAAGGGCAGTAAAAAATCCCAACCAATAAAGAGCTTATTACAGAGGCTAAAAAAGAACATGAAAACTGAAATTTGCATTCAATGTGGAATGTATTCCATTCTAAAGTTGGAGAAAATAATAATAGTTTCACCTCACAGTCTGAGCAAATAGCTAGGTAAACTCATACTTGGTATGACTATGAGATATTTTGATTCAAAGATACAGTTCAAAGATCATTTGAATTGAATAGTCACATTGATTCGACATGCCGAAATCAGGAGCCTTTCAATGGGTCCAGCATTTTTTCTTTACTTTATTTAAATTGAATATTTGA